CAACCCAAATGGACCATGCTACTCTCAGGTCATGTACATACCAATAATAGTTATGGGCTTAGACATCTAATCCAACACACAGTTATTGTTATTTCAAGCATCACAAACCTCTTTATATAGTGTAGATGATTAGAGTAAACCCTAATAACCCATGTGTTTTCCTTTTCCATGGATCCATGGGTTAAAAGCTCCATGGATCATCCATGGACTCTCGTGTAAGCTTACCCATTTCCTAATGCGTGTTAGCCCACTATATATAAATATAATAGCCCATGTTTAATTAGTCACCCTTTTGATCACTAAATTAATTCATAATTAATTTAAGATCAATACTAATTAAATAATTTGATTTCATATTAATATATTATAACTTATAATACATTAATAAATCATAAAGATGCTATTCCCATAAATATTATCCATATAAATAGTTCGGGTGAAGTGCCACCCAAATGGACCATGTTGGGTCGGGTCAAGTATATACCAAATAAGTTATGGACTTAGACACCTTGTCCAACAGATAGTACCTTGCATAGATGATAAAGGTCAACCTAGTTTCAAAATGGATTGGGTTCCAAAGACAAACTAATTCCGCACTTTGTGCGGGATCAGCTTTGGAGGAATATCATCAGACTTTCATTTATTGATAGTGGTTGTTCCAAGCACATGATAAGGGATGTCTCTTAACTGTTATCACTCCGAACCCTCATTGAGAGTATGTTTCCTTTGCGGAAAAGGAAGAAAGAAGAGGACCATAAATGGGGATTGTACTTAACAACGTGAAGAATTTTCGGATCTGTTCTGAGATTGAAATATGCATGTTGCTCTCAGATCATCTGGATGCAAATTCAATTGGTGACTTACAGTTTGAGTTTTCTCCTCAATACTCTTGAGTCTTCTTAAAATGATTCGTTTCAAAGACAATTTTTTTTTTTTTTAATTTTGAGTATTTATTTTATGTCTTCCCTATGCCCAAATTAAGCGGGAGAAATCAAAATAAAAAAATAAGAAAAATAAAAAATTAATAAAAATTATAATATATCTTTCTTTGGTAGGTGTTTGTTGGGAAGTGATATGAAGTCTAGTGCTAAAGGGCAATTTATGATGCGTGTAATGCACTGAAACTAAATTGTTTGGACTCTGTGTTCATTGCACTGGTAGGCACAAACGATTCAAATGGACTAGACATGGAATGAAAATGAAAGAATTTAACAGTGTGAACCTAGATGGTTTCCTTTGGACTAACCATCCATGCTCAGGTAGATTAGGCAGTGAGATAAACATGGGAACCTGAGTGATACATTAATGTCTTATGTATCTAGAATTACGGCTTAACATTTCCTTGAAGTATGGACTGATGTCCTTAATTCTGGTACTGATAGGGCGACTGGGGGTTTTGATAACATAGGTATGTAGGAAAAAAAAAGTCTTGATTTCTATCTGTCTGCTATATGTTGCCTCCTTTGCATGATTGGAATGTATCTGACATGGAACACAACATTTGCAACTCTATCTCTAAGCATCTTCTTCTATATGCAATTCTTTTTATGTGTTAGTTATATGCTGTCTCCTCTGCATGATTGGAAACCATCCAACCTAGAACACATCATATGCAACATTCTACCTCTCAATCCCTCTATTCTGGTGAGTCATATGTTGTTCCCTTTGCGTGATTGGAAGAGATCTGACCTGGGTATTCAACATATGTATTTTTGAATCTGATTTCTCTCTTAATGATTGTCTACTCACCTAAAGTAAGGATTTCTTTGGTAGTTCTTGATAACTGGGGTATGTCGGGAAGTAGGGAACACGTTCTAGTACATATAAAATTGAACTATTTAAAAGATTGTTTGTAGATCTCGCTGCGAAATTTAAGTGGACAGCAATGTCCTTGGTTGTCGTCAGCTAAATGGTCCATTTATAAATATAGGTGCAACATCTTGTAACTTATAATCTGTCAAATTTGTCCATATCCTTTATGTTTAAGTGGACCACAATACCGATGATTGACCAGATCTAGACATGCAAGTGTGTGCTAATAAATGATATTGAATTGCTCGACAATTTTGATACCAAAAGTCTTAAATTTAGTCATTATTTTTGTCTTTGTTAAATTTGTTCATAGTTTTCCTCTAAGCACCAATATATGGGGAGAATAAAAAAAATAATTAAAAAAATCAAACAAAAATCATAAAATCCAAAAATCCAAAAATAGTTTTATTTCTGTTTTATTTCTTTTTTAGAATATATGAAAAATCCAAAACTATTGTGTGCTAAGTTTGTTTTTAGTTTTGTTTTTATCTCAAAGTTTCGTTTGTCTTAAAAAGCAAATTCAAAGGAAGATGAGATTGTATCTGCAGAAGAGACTCAAGGAGGCAGTACTTTCACACAGATAATGCGAGAAGCCTCCATCTGAGCCAAGGCTGGGTCCTTGAACAACTGTGGTCAGAAGGGTCTTTATGACTCTATGATCCACAGAGACTTTATAGTTGATGGTTACTTTTCAAGGCGTAACGGTGATCATTGAAGAACGTTCATTCGAAGGAACAAGAAATGAAGATTATATTTCAACATTCAATCTTTCAACCCCAGAAGCAAGGTGAGGCTGTACTTGAAAATTATGTGACAGATTGCATTGGAGCCTCCTCAATCAATATGTTGCTATCTATGAACCCGCTGAAGTGATCTAGAAGAATCTGTCTCTTTGTTATTCTCTCTGAAGATTCTCATGCTAAAAGTGATGTTTTTCAAGAGTCTTTTCAAAAAGCCTCCTCACCCAATGTGCGTTCAAAACCAATTTTTTTAAGAAATGCCCAACTGTTCAAGATGAATTTATTCACATATGTTCATATTGAAGTTGTGAAGAAATTGAAGATAAACGCTGAAGCCAAGCTCAAAGCGAAGATTGAAAAGAAAAGCAAGTTACAAACCCACAGGGAGTTTGTTAGGTCATAAGAAAAGAAAGCTATAAACCAAGGGGTAGATTGTTGGGTCTAAAATTATGGTTTATACTTTGCTTTTCTAGGCATTTATAGTTTTCGGTCTAGGACCGAAAACAGTCTTGGGTTTTGTTGTAGATTTGACCGAAATCTCATTTGTTTACGGTCAAGCCATTGGATTTTGGGCTTGGGTTTTTGGTCCATATATATATATATATATATATATATATATATATATATATATATATATATATATATATATATGGGTTAGACAATGTTTAGGTAGGTGTCCATGGAGTAGAGGACATTCAAAGGGAGCTACCATTGTCATACTTGGTGTTCTAGAGAGAGAAAATAGAGACAACTTGTGTGTGTGTGAATCTTGTCTATATGGATCATCATTTAATATCATTGCATACATTGAAGATTCATCTCGGTGTTCTTCTTCTTCTTCATTCTATCTTGCATCATCCACTTGATTGGGATTCTGCACCATCAAGTGGATTGGATTGATGCGTCAAAGCAATTTAGGGACTTACATAATTGAAATTGGAGTCAAACATATTTCCATATCATTTTTTGGCTCCAAATCAAGGCGGGAAGTTTTCATCTATCTCACCGCCAAGACTGTGAAGATCATTCCATGGGATCAAGGAATTTTCGGTAATTTTGGTTACAAACCTCCATTTATGGCATAGTAATTTAATACTATTTAAATCACATTGATTTATTCCAGAATTCTATCGTTTCTGAATTGATCAATCGACATTAGTAAGTATGCATTCTGCACGAATTCAACTATAAGTATACTATTTGTTTATAATGTCAATGTTCTTCATTATATTGATTGATGTGTTATACATAAATAACAAAAAATTTCATTCTTCATATTACTGTGGGTGTTGCACACCAAGTGTTTAATGAAATTCCTATGTGAAAATTTTGTCAATATTATATGTTAATCTTACCTTTTCATTTAACACACCACTAATCAAAATTGTTTCCTCTGTTTCATGTCAACCAAAGAATCATTAAGGTGAACAACTAACAACATGATGATAAGCCAGAGTATGATCAGGAATATGAGCAAGATGATCGAACATAAGTGTATGATTCAGATACTGAAGATGGAGAAGGAAACAACAATGAGTAAAATAGCAATTCAGAATCTGATGAAGATATACAAAACCTAGTTGCAACAAGATCAAATAGGAAGAGGGGCATAACTCGACTGCCAAAACGAAAGAGTGAGTATGTCAATTCTGGTTGCAGGAAAAAAAACGTGTAAAGTTTGATGAATTGGGTAAGTTTTTGGGTAAGCATAATGCATTGTTCGTTAGCTATTTGGGAGATCTTGTCCGTGAGAAAATGGGATTGAGTTCTTTAGGATGGAAGAAAGTAACCCCTGAAGTGAATCATAAAGTATGGGAAGAGATTACAGTAAATACTATTTTCACTATTATTAACTGCATCTCATATTATATTTACCAATCATGTATTACTAACATATTATTATTTTTCATTTTAGCACTATTTTGAAGTTCATGCAACTGTAAAGTAGTTTGTGACGAATAGGCTTGGTATTCTTCTACAGAACTTCACAAAAAAAATTATATGCAGATTACATCAAGCCACATCAAGGTAATCCCGAAAAGCTTGAAAACATCCCTGTTTGTTATTGTGCACTAATTATAAAAAAAGATGTCTGGAAAAAATTCGTGACATATATGCAATCTGAAGAGTTTAATGTTACAATTTTTTTCCAAAACTTCTTCATTTATTTATCATAAACTTACAAAAAAAGTGCTTGACAAATCCTTTATTTTTTTGACACGTTATGTCACAAATGACTATCAAAGCGCGAAAGATGTCAACATACGCTCATTGGATGGGACGAGGGAGGTATATGACTCTAAGGCGGAAGTTGGTAAGCTTGGTCTTTAGCTATATGATCCAGTTATATTAACTTCATAGCATTGTAGTTAATACGATTTTGTTTTATATTGTTTATAATTTGATTTTTTTATCAAAATTGAAGAGAAAGTTATTTAAAAGGAAGAAATGCCCCCAAGGACTATTATGTGGTGTAAAGGACGTGAAAGTAAAGGAGAATTTAAAGATGAAAATGCTAAGCTCATGGCGGATAAACTAGTAACTTCACTAAACTTTTTTTATTACTTTTACTTTGAGGATTTATATCAGTTTTTTAGGACAATAATTAATCATATTTTGTGTGCTAGATGGAACGTCAAAAGCAGATAAAAGATGGAGACATAAATGTTGAACCCGTCATGGATTCCATTACCTTAGTTTTTGGCAAGGAACAGGGTGGATTTATAAAAGGGTGTCAGCACGGAGTCACAATAGATATTTCAATGTTCCTCGCATCAAAGGATCTTCTAAGGAGGAAATTAAAGTTCTTAAAGTTGCACTGTAGAATGGAAAACTTGAGCTTGATAAAAAAAGATTCTAAACTCAAGGATTTTTCTACAAAGGTTAATGAACAAGATGAAACACTAAAGCTAGTTTTGGCTCATCTTACTGCAAAAGGAGCGAACTTTCCAAATTTGCCTCAAACACTTGTAAGTCATCTTATAAACAACATCAAATGAAAATATTACTTGTAAATTGCATTTCTTATATATATTTTCCCTATTTCTTCATATTTTCTAGGGTATTTCAAGTGATAAGATTGTTGACTCCTGTTAGTCTCACAACCAAGGAACCATCAAAACCCTTAACACCAGTATGTCATCATATCACAAGATCATCATTGTTATATTTTTTTTGTACTAATTTCTGCTTTTTCATTTGGGACTTTAACTTATTTAGGTAATTGCAAAACCTACCAAGAAACCAATTCAAACCAAATATGCAACTACAACTCCCGATACACAATTGCCTTCCCTGAAATCTGCAACACCAGTACATACTAATTTTACAGTTTTCATTACTTTTAATTTCCCTTCTGTATTAAAATATAATTTTACATCTATGTCTTAAATCTTTATATTAGGCAAATACAAAACCCACCAGAAAAGCTGTTGAGTATAAGACTTCCACTATCAATCCCGAGACACCAATAGTTTCACCAAAAAAAAACCTTCACCAGGTCAGTGTTTTTTTACATGCTGAACATACATTTTTGTATTTTGATTTTCTAATTCTAAGATTACATATCATTGTAGCCAATCAAGTGTAGTCTATCATATTCAGATAAAAGGAACATCGTTGCTCATGTTACTGCTCACTTATCATCAGAAAGACAATTCATTCATTGAGTTTATGTACAAGATGGTAAAAAAAGAATCATTTCTACCCCCATGAAACTGCAGAATCCAAAACAGTTGGGCAGGCTTATAAAAGTTTTGTTTCATGACCAAAACTCCTTGTGAAAGCTAACTCAAAGGTTTCTTTATGTTTACTTCTTTGTGTATTACACTTTTTTCTTCATAAACTAGTCTACTAAGTTTTTAATGAACTTGTTTTTTCATTTCAATGTTGTTGGTATAGGTACCATATATGATATCACATCAAGACCATAAACTTCAAAACTCAAAGAAAAGGAAATCACTTATGTATCATGTGATACCCTTCTCAAGAAGACAATGAGTAATACCAACAAGATGAAGGCCTAGTTATGTCTAGGTTTTGGTTTATGATATGTTTGCTTTATTTACCATAGTTTAAATACTTCCAATTAGTATATTTTTTTTAGTATTTTAATCAGGAATTTAATGTATAGATTTGGATTTCAATTATTACTAATATCGAATTTTGAATTTCGATATTGTTTCATATTGTTGGGTTTGGTGTCTTTAATTTATATTATTTTGATGTGTCTACAATATAAAAAAAGTAACAAAAAAATTGAATTATTGTGGCTTTAATATAAATATGGCCATGTTTTTATAGGTTTTCAATGTCTCCAAAATTATATAATGGTTACTTTATATCATTTTTTGACATATGGCTAAACGATTAACAATAGTCATAATCTAAAAAGTTATGAGTCTACGATTGTTTTAAAATGATGTTTTTCTAAAGTTTTGTGACTATAAGTTAAACAATAACAACATAAAAAAAATTATGTGGAAAATTAATACCATAATTGATTGTTTTTGTGACTAATTATTAGCAAATCATCATTTATGAAATTAATTACATGTGGTGATTTAGCAAACATAATCATGTTCATTGTAATTACATGTTCCTAAAATATACCCAATAGTTTTTATACGATACCCAATAGTCCTTAATTTTAATAAAATATGTATCTTTATTAATACTTATGATTGTGTTTTACTTAATTATGTGTCTCTATAGGATAGATAATAGTCACCAAAATTGATTGTTTTTGTGACTAATTATTAGCAAATGGTCACTTATGAAATAAATTACATGTGGTCATTTAGCAAACATGGTCATGCTCACTGTAACTACATTTTTTGCAAAAGATACACAATAATCTTAATAAACTTTAAACTGTGTGATAATATATTAGAAAAAAACCACACTAAAACAACATGCATGTCGCAAGTTGGTGACATACAGTCACTACAATAACTAAATAAATGTGTCTATTGACGTTTTAACACTACAATATTGGATATAATGATTGATTTTAGTAACAAAATTCCTTACACAATTGTCACACTTTTATAATACGGTCACATGTTTTCATATCATACGGATACTACATTTTAAAGTGATCATAAGACACATATGTTAGCGTCACCTTCCGTCAGACATTTAGTGGAAAAATAATATGTCACTATACGCATATGATCACACTTTTTCAGTGTGTTTGTAGGTCATTTTTATACTAGTGAATTTAAGTTGGTTAAAGTTGATCTAAACTCATTAAACCCAGAACCGAGACCCCAAAACCATTTGTTTGGGTTCAAACTGTTAAGATTCAATGTTATGGGCTTGAGTTCGGATTTAGGCCAAAGCCGACCCATGCACACACCTATTTGTCTTTGTCGTGTATCGAGTTGTATACCGAACACAAATGTTGTACGTTCTACCGTCTCCTGCTCAATGAGAATTACCAAATGATGTATTGGTGGTGTTACCCCTTTGTAACTTAAATATTTACCAACTTTTTTATGTTTACTTGTAATGTTATTTGTATGTCATCCACTAATATAGTATCTAATTAATGTAAGCTCCATAAAAAAATTCTAAACATCACAACCCCCCCCCCCCCTAACTTGGAGCTTACAAAATACATACTCCTAATATCCAAATACCAAGTGTAATGTGTTTGTGTATAGTCATGGTTACATAGAACGCAATGAAAATTTTTCATTTTAAATGGATTGCATATGAAAGAGTTGTGAATGTCCAAAGTTTGTTTATTTGTCATATTTTTCGCTAAGTATCCTAGTTTTGAGCTAAAATGAATGACTTCGTGACCTCCAAATTAGGAGTGTGATATGTCATTGATACGCATTGTCACAAAGAACAAAATTAAAAAAAAAAAAAAAAAATTAAACCAAAGATACTTTCTATGAAAAACCGAAAAAGCTATGAAGGTGCAAAGTCAGAAAAAAAAAATTGCAATCCACATCTGCAAACATTTTCGCAGTTAACGGACACGTTATTTTAATATTTAATAAAAATAGTAATAACTTTTTTGCAGACCACTTCGTTTTTATCATATATGACTTAGAAAAATAATGGTCACTGTCCATTTTTATAGCTATGTTATAGTGATTTTCTGATTTATTTTTAGGTATTTATAGAGGCATTAAAATGGGACGAAAGGGCTAATAAAATAATATAAATGTTTGGTTAAACCACTTTTTGGAATGAAGTATCTGGATGTTTGTTACCAACCCCACATGTATTAACGGAAGCAAAGATTCTCTACGTTCAAGTTTCAACAACAATTCTCTAGAGAAATGTGCAACTAAACAACTATTACGTATTCGCCTCTAATGATTTTCTTTTAGAACGGGAATAATTATATTAAAATAGGTCCTAACTAGATGTTAGAGATAGTCTTTAAAAAATGATTAATGATCACAAGTTATAGAATAGAAAACTATAAACGTTTTTATTGGAAAAATACATCAATTATTCTAATCTAGACGTGATCAACTTGTCATGTTCTTGATTCAAAGATAGGTATTCGATTTTTTTTATTGGATGATCATGGATTTTGAAGGTTGCTGGTTATTGAAAGTTTGGTTGTTTTTTGAATGCGAAATGAACATATAGAAATAGATATGGCCATGGTAAATTTTTATTTCTAAAATGAGATTGTAGTATTTAATTTGGGTGAGACAATAACTATTTTGACCCAAGATGTACCAAATGGAGGCATTTTGCAAATTGACAGGAAACCAATAAGTGACGTGTAGTTTCGTTTTCACAACCACAAAGTAGCATAATGTTGAATTTACACCAACGAGTCTCTTCAATAATGCTCTTAAAGATGGAGTTCAATTCCAAACAAAACAAATTATTTTCTTGGGACTCAATTTAACCAAGCTAACTCACCCAAATCACATGAAACAAATTTTCGATTCAATATCTTTCCTTAGATAGTCAACAGTGAACTCATCTCAAGGGTCGCCATCCGTGTACCACGAGTCATCAGATTTTATAGGACCTGCTGGAGTTCCAATCTAGTTTGAGCTCCATCCAGCTCCAATGCATTAAATTTCTGGATCTATTTATTGTAATTAAAATATATCTAAAACTCGTTGATTCTACATAAATAAATTATATTTTTCTTCAAATTTGGAAAATTTTATTATTAAAATTTCAATCAAATTTATCATTTTATATTATTATATCAATATAAGATATTATTATTATTATTATTATTATTATTATTATTTAAAGACATTAAATATTTCATTCACTGCCACCTTATATTATCTAAATAATTAGGGTAAATTACACGGATGGTCCCTGTGGTTTAGGGTAATCTACGTGTTTGGTCCCTAACAAAAATTTTTTAACCCGAACTATCCCTATTTTATATTTTTGTTGCATGTTTGGTCTTTATTAGATGTAAAAAGACTATTTTGTCATCACCTTATATAATTATGTATTAATGATTTTTTTTATTAATATATAAATTAAATATTAAAAAGGTTAAAAAGAAACCTAAACCTAATCTAACCCCACTTCCCAAATCCGTCGTTCATGTTTTCTCCCACCTCCCGTCTTCTTCATCCATCACCTCCAAGCCCGTCTACCATCGTTGGCCACCACCAGCTATTGCTCCCTGCCACCAACTTCCGATGATGGTTGTCTTTCCATCGTGTTCTTCCTTCAACGCCCATTCACTGAACCACAAAAATCTCGAAGCATATTGACAAAGATCGTGAAAGAAGGAGGAGATGAAGCAGACACTCGAATCAGACAAGACAGGTTCGATTTCCATCGTGTTCTTCCTACAACACATGCTCGATTTCAATTTCAGTTTGATTTCATATTTGATTTTGAGTTTTGAGTTTGATTTCAATTTCAGTTTGATTTCAAGCTTCAAATTTCTATCAATTTTGATTTCAGTTTTCATGTTTGGTTTCGGTTTTAGGTTTGAATTCATATTTGATTTTGACTTTTGAGTTTGATTTCGGTTTCAGTTTGATTTCAAGCTTCAAACTGCCATCGATTTTGATTTCAGTTTTCCTGTTTTTATGGTTTCAAGATTGCTTTCAAGGTCAATTTAAGTTTCAAGTTCCAACTCTGGTGAATATAAAAATTTGATTTCTTGCCAGGGAAGGCCAGAACCTCCATCAATTTCATAAGAAAACACTAATTTGACTTTTGATAACGTGGCTCGGAACCACCAATGACCTGTTTGAGATCTCTTCCCGGTTGATTTCTGCTTTTTAAATTCATGGAATGTGTTTGGGTTTGATGGAGATTTGCTGGAGAAGACATTATTTTGATTTTGGTTTCGTATTTATTATTGGTTCACCGGAGAAGACAAAGTTATGGGTGGTTTGTCGGAGAAGTTAAATTTATGAGTGGTTTACGGAGAAGAAGGAGAGGGAGGGGGGGGGGGGGGGGAGTGATAATTTAGGACCCACATCAGATTTTAATATTTAATAAATATCATTTCCACATTTAATTATTATTTTTTAATTAACTGATAATATAAAAAAATTTAAAAGAAATCAATAAAGGTAAATCAATCTTTTTAGAACGAACAGGGATCAAGCGTGCAACAAAAGTTTAAAATAGGGATGATCCGTGTTAAAAAAGATTGTTAAAGACCAAACATGCAGATTACCCTAAACCACAGGACCATCCATGAGATTTACCCAAACATAGCATACCACTAAACATGTTAATGTCATTGATGGTCCCCGTGGTCTACGTCAATTTGGGTGTTCAATTTCTAACTCATTATTCATTATTTTTAACTCGGAACGGTACTTATAGTATATTTTTTGTTACGACTTTAGTTCATGTTCGGAACTTCCTTATAGTATATTTTTGTTACGACTTTAGTTCATGAAAAATGTAAAAATAGTATTTGTCCTAACTAATTTCTTTTTTAATTAATTTACTTATTTATTATAAAAATAAATATATAATTAGAAAAAAATTCTAATGTGTTCCACCACCCTTTACTACTCAACCCAACCGAACCCACCCTTACCCTCTTTTTCTACTGGTTTCCTTACCCTCTTCTTCATTTCCGAATCCTTTTGTCTGATTGCTTCTTTTTCTTCCACAAGCCACCAATAAATGCAATCAATCGATGTAAAATCAAAACATGCTTAAAATAGAAAAATAATCCCTGCAAACTTATGAAAACTAGTAATAAAATCAAAACACAGTTAAATTCAATCATGAGACCTGAAAATTCCATGAAATCAAACCCAATTAATAGATGATTTTAAGTACACTTGGACCTGCACCATCGAATGTATAACATATGTGCACAAATCTGGAAAATAAAAACTCGATAAACCCCTCGACCTTCTACTCAATCTCGATCTGCTTAACACCATCTCCAGTCTCCACACTCTCCTCCCTTGGTTCTAATCTCCATAGATGTTAGCAGTGAGTACAAGAGAATTGATTTCAGATAGTGAATTGATGAGGATAGAATCTTTTATGAAATACACCAAATGCTAATAGTGAAAGAGAATCAATATAAGTTTAGAATAATTGATGATTGTTACCTTGAATTAGTGATTGTAGATGATGAATTCTTAAATACATAAATACTTTTTGTTGAGTTTGATTTTCCAGATTGGATTTTTGTGGGTTTGTTATCGACGGTAGATGAGAGAGACGTGATGGTAGGATTTTGGAACAAAGTGTGAGGAGTTATGGTGTCTGATACGTGGGAAACATGGTCGACGGATAGGGTGGTGAACACCAGTGGTGGATATGAGAGAGCACTACTAGAAACCTGACCTTCTGCAGCGGAAATAGCGATGGAACCCTTCTGTAACTAATTAGCATACGTTTTTTTCGAGGGATCAACAACGGATTTCACAAAAACCCTTCAACTAAATTAATTTTAGAAATTTAGTGAGGAGTTATCGAGGGCCTAACAACGAATTGATCTATCTTTTTCGACAAAAAAATCCCTTGCTAATTTGTCACAAATTAAAGATTTTTACCTAGGGAACAACGACGGATTTCATAAAAACATGGGATTTTTTTCTAAGGCCTCACCAATCAATCGCTGAAAGGCCCACGCCTTTTTTTTTCATTTCAGACTATTTTCTTTTTTCATTCCTTCGTTTTAATTTCATTTCATTAGAGAGCCCTAAACACGATTTCCTCCCAAAGACCTAAATCACAATGTGGTGACTCAATTGCATCCTCCGCCCAAGAAATCACCTCCACCACCATCCAGATGTGTCGTCTCTCTTACTTGCATTGCCTCTCATTGAATTTTACTTGAAGTAACGCCAAAGAACATCCTCGTGGATTTCCTCTCGATCTGTCTTCGTTCTTTGTTGATTTGTGGTTTCTTGCCAATGCCATTTGATATGTTGGTTGCTATAAAATTATGGTGTTCATCCCATTTAAACTCTATGTAACACCCGCAAATCCAGGCTAGACAATTTAAAGATAATAAGCGTTAAAAATGATTTCTTTAATAGAAGATTATTTAGGAAAAATAAATTTAACAAAAGTTATAGTATATGTGAAGAGGATTTCATACATATAAAGAATCCTAAAGTCTGACTTTGAATAAAGCAGTTATGTTTCTTTGAAGTTTTGCAATTAAACGGGCACGCCTCTACATATCATAAAAAGTGAATTTTTGATAAATTACTTTTTAGCCTTAGTAATGTAAACGAAACTCATAGTATTTGTTAAATCGAGAGCGTGCATATAGAGAACGTCCAAATCTGACTTTAGTAGAGGAAGTTATGATTTTCCAAAGTTTAGCGCTGTAGCACGGGCAAATAAATTGAATTTCAGATCGGCCGATTTTTAGCTGAAATGATCTAAATGAGAATTGAATATCTCATTAATAGGAGATCAACGATAAAAATACAGTATAAAACGGAGCCGTATGTACAAGTTATGAATTTTACACAATCATTAGTATTGTAATCTTCTCAGACTGTTAAATTTAAGATCGGTCGAGAACTAGATAATGGGGTCAAAAGAAATTTTATAGTAATCGAAAATAACTATGCATGGATATAAAGAACATCAAAAACGGAACTCGTATGCGGAAATTATGAATTGTTGAATATCTATAGATTTACCTATGTCCGGTACCATATGTCAGCACCAAAGGCAAACCGTTGGTGCCTAAGCATGCTCACGATGTGAGAGGTATGTCTCACGACATGAGAAGCCCCTGGGCAGACTATAAATAGAGTCGAATATCACTCATTTCTTCACACATTTCGATTTTATTCTCTCCCAAACCCCCCAAGGTCCCAAGGCCTTTCTCTAGCACTTCCTAAGTGTTAGTAGCGAAGCTCCAGAGCACCAGAAAGCCCCGAGAAATAGAGCTTTTGCTGTAGAAGTTTTTCTCGCGTAGAGTCCAATTCCTCACTAAACCACCTGTAAGTTGAGTTATGCTTACCGTGCTCTAACTATAACTTATGTTTAAGTTCATTATCGTTATTGTGAACATATAAACAAGATTTATTAGTGATTCCATGTCGTTATATTGATTGATCTACTTACAAGAGAGGTTACTAGAATGGTCATGTTGGCTTGGTTGTTGGATTTCAGAAAAGCTATATGTCGAAATGATCATGCCTCCCGATTGTCCTGCCTGCCCGATCCTTACTTGATAGATCTTGGAATAGACTTTCAATTAATGATGAATCTAGGCTAATGATTAATCACAAGAAGTATTAGCCTAACACTTAGTGATAATAATACTAGGTTATGTCAAAGAAATAGACAGTTGCTACGAGCGAAGCGTTGTTCGAGTTTCGAGTCATCACTTTAACAAGTGAGTGCATAGTTACTTTAATCTTACACATAGATATGAAGTATTTAATATAAATACATGCTATATGTTCCTATATGTCTATGTACTTGATATCTATTTTAGATGAATGATTTATACATGTTTTACTTGATTTAAACGGTATATGTATTTTTATACCTATAATATATTGGGTAAAGATGGGTAGATGAAAGATGATATAAATGATGAAAGATGAAAGATGATATAGATGATGAAAGATGAAAGATGAAAGATGATATAGATGGTGAGATATGAAAGATGAAATAGATGATGAGAGGTCTTGACTTCAAAGATAACGTCATCTAGCAGAGTATAGATGACAACCACAGAGTATTCTAGACAGTCCAGTGGAACACTAGTAGACTTGCAACCTGTAGGTGTTTGTGAACCATGTGTTCATCAAATGTACTCTAAAAACCCATTGACATATATTGTAGGTGTCCTCCCTAGAATAATATATTCAATAAAGATGATAAACCCTAGCAGCTATAGACTTAGTTCCTATTAGATAAACATCGGTAACTATGAACTTAGTGCCTAATAGATAACATTGGCAGCTATGGACTTAGTGCCCATTAGATGCCAATGGCCGCTATGGACTTAGTGCCTATTAGATAAACCCTGGCAGCGATGGACTTCGTGCCTATTCCTTAGGACAAAGCCTTAGGATTAAATATAGATGAATACCTATTGACAAGTATCATGAAGGAATCCTTGAACTAGTACTGTCAACATAGATGATCCTTAGACTAGATCATTAAGAATAAAGAAGATAATGTGGATGAGAAATTGGGTTAATTTTTGATGATTAAACATATTAATTATATTATTATGAGTTGAAAACCCTATGTACTCACCAGGATTCCCAACCTAACCCACTCAGTTTATTGTATCATAGGTAGCGATATGAAAGATACATTCTACTAAGAGATTTGAGGAGTGTTAGGCCATTAGTTCAATTACTATAAGGTTTGTAATATTTCGTTATGCCTATGTTTTTGTATTGACGATAACATCGTTCTTCGGAAATGATTTGAAAATATCTTTATCATATTTTTGGAAATAAATCTCGCAATATTATTCTTCAAAAATGATACTCTTATTTTTTAAATAAGCATAAAAAAATCGGTTTTTTCTGACCGTGAAATAAGGGATGTTATAGTTGGTATTAGAGCATTAGTTTATGAGAACTAGGAATTTTTAGGATTTCTCGATTTAAACTTAGAATGTTAAGTAATGATTTTGAGATGAGTGTTTACTATACTTAAGAAGTATGCCTGAATAGACATGAGCACTAGCTTATTTAGGGAAGATGCCTAAAGTGCTTTTATGTGCTAAATGATTTATATTATAGCTATAAAGATGCCTTATATGCTATAGGATGCTATTATCTTGGATCTATGGTCTATAGCTGACCAGATCTGGAAATTTTATGTGTTCATGTTTCTAAATGTTTAACTATGATATTAGAACTGAAAAATAACTTTTCGGAGTGATAAGGAGAGCTATATGTCAAAATTATCTCTATCTATATTCTCTTGTCAGTACACCGAACAGCTGCTTTGGTATACAAAACGACATGGTGAAGACTCGTAATGGACTAAGCAAAGTTGATGATATTGAATAATACCTATCAAAACATATCGTAAGAGAGATATCTTGCCTTTAGAATGCATCTAATAAATAATACGTCTGGTGTGGGAGAAGTACACTTCCGATTAGCAGAAAGAAAGAACTTTTGGTATAATCTAGCCCATCATCTGGAATTTCCTCACCAACCAAGTTGAAGAATAATTATTGTTGAAGATACGTATGGAAGAAGTCCTAGTAGAATCTAGGGAAATTTTTATGATTGTTTGGACACATTGATATGTGTTAAATTGGTTTTGTGATAATAACATAGTTGACTACGAGACTATACATGTGATAATAACATGTTAACAAAAGTTATACTATATGTGAAAAAAATGTACATATAAAGAAGCTAAAATACGACTTCGAATGAAGATGTTATGCTTCTTCGAAGTTTGGCGATTTAAACCAACACGACTCTACATATCATAAAAAGTGAATTTTTGATAAATTACTTTTATCTTAGTAATATAAACGAAATTCATAGTATTCGTCAAACTGAGAGCGTACATATAGAGAAAGTCCAAATCTGACTTTAGTAAAGGAAGTTGTGATTTTTTGAAGTTCAGCGCAACAGTACTGGGCACAAAAATCGAATTTCACATCAGACGTTTTTTAATCCAAAATGATCTAAATGAGAATTGAAGATCTCATTACTAGTAATTCAACAATAAAAAGATAGTCGAAAACGGAGTCCGTATGTAAAAGTTATGAATTTCACACGGTCATTAGTAGTGTAATCTTCTCAGACTGTTAAATTTAAGATCAGTCTAAAGTTAGACAATGGGGTCAAAATAAAAGTTGTAGTACCCGAAAATACCTATGTCTAGATATACAGAACGTCAAAAATGGAGCTCATATGCGAAAATTGTGAATTTTTGAACATCTGCATTTTTACTTGCATTTGGTGCCACGTGTCAGCACTAGAGGCGAACCCTTGGTGCCTACGCATGCTCAAGACATGATAGGTATGTCTCACGATGTGAGAAGCCCCTGGAAAGCCTATAAATAAAGCTGAATTTTAGTCATTTCTTCACACCTTTCCGTTCTATTCTCTCCCAAACCCCCCAAGGTCCCAAGGCCTTTCTCTAGCACTTTCTAAGTGTTAACATTGAAGTTTTGGAGTGCCAGAAATCCCTAAGAAATAGAGCTTTGAGTTTTAGAAGTTCTGCCCGCACATAGTCAGGTTCTTGCTAAACCACCTGTAAGTTGAGTTATGCTTACCGTGCTCTAAGTATAACTTATGTTTATGATCATTATCATTATTATAAACCTATAAACAAGATTTAGTAGTGATTCAAAGGATTTATAATGACTGATGTACTTATGGGAGAGGTGTCTAGAATGGTCATGTTGGCTTGGTTGTTGGATTTCAAAAAAGCTATACGTCGAAATGATCCTGCCTCCCAACTATCATGCCTGGCTGATCCTTACTTGATAGATCTTGAAGTAGACTCTGAGTTAATGATGAATCTAAACTAATAATAAGTCGCATGAAATATTAGACTAAGGCTCAGTGATAATAATACTAGGTTATGTCGAAGGAAAAGACAGTTTCTAGGAGCGAAGCGTTCTCCAAGTTTCAAGTCATCACTTTAACAAGTGAGTGCATAGTTACTTTCATCTTACACATAAATATGAAGTATTTAATACAAATACATGCTTTGTGGGCCTATTATTTGTGTTCCTGATATCTATGCTAGATGAACGATTTATACATGTTTTACTTGATTTAAACTGTATATGTATTTTTATACCTATAAATATATTGGGTAAAGATGGGTAGATAAAAGATGATATAGATGATATAGATGATAAGAGATGAAAGATGAAATATATGATGAGAGGCCTTGAATTTAAAGATGACGCCATCTAGCAGAGTATAGATGACAACCATAGACTATTCTAG